TAATTGCACATCGGGGCCCATCTTTATTTCTTTTTCCCCATTTCATTAAATGTGGGGGAGATCAGAAGCATAACTGTACATTAATTCTCAGCGGCAGAGAAATTCCTTGATTTCTGTTTCCATCCTCATGGTCATTGCACACGTTTCGTCATTGGTGCAAGTTTGTACTCTAGTATTTTCAATATGGTAAATTTGTCAAGCAGCAGTTTTCTGGTGTTTTTCTCCAACAGTTTAATTTAAAAATTGGCCTCACTGTCATGTCTTTTAAGTGGAGCCCTGAATGCAAAAAAAAAAAAATGCTTCATGGCTTCAGTCCTCACCCATCAGCGGTAAGTACACATTTAAAACCTTGATTCCAGTGGGGTGACTAATTGTTTTTGTTTTGTCTCCTGCGCAAAAATTGGGTCAATCAATCAATAGTTTTTCACAGAGCTTTTGTTTTTTTATTTTTCATTTTAAATCTGAACAATGCCGCTGTGCAAAAAAGAGCGCAATACCGAATTATTACGACTCGTGCTTCTGCTGCTCCTTTAGATCCACATTTCCCTCCAATGATTTGACTCCCTAAAATTAAAGCTGATACTTGGTGAGTTGGAATGCATATGTTGGAAAAATTGTTCTCTCAAATGAGGTTTTCTTGCCTGTATTGTGACCGCCCATTTTCCAGCTAAGTGTCCACATAACAGGATAACCATGATTTAAGAATATCTCTTGTAAATATGTTTTAGAGAATTTTTGACTGGCTTCAGTCAGTTATATTTACATAATCTAATTGATCTATTTTATTTGAAGGAATTTGAGGCGGATACGGAAATGCCAGAGAGGATGGGAGCAGCTGCAGCAGGAACGGATCACTAAAGGCGCCTCAGATAAATCTCAGGATGGCAGCAGTGAGCTGAAGATGCAGTGCATGTTCAAACTGAACTCCTACAAGATGGTTTACGTCTGCAAGTCAGAGGACTACATGTACAGACACACCGCACTCTCTAGAGCTCACCAGGTGAGTACAGTGATTGACAGGTTTAGTGCAGCTATTCCAAAGTTTATAGAAGGAATCTAGAATCAGTATCAGTAAAGTATTTACTTGGATTGTAGAATATTAGAAATTTGAAGTTTGTCAGTTACAGTCATTTGCAGCTGATTAGCTTTTTGGATGTTTTAGTTTTTAGTCACCACTCTTCCTTTCAGTAAGAAGGTTGTCTGTTTGAATCCAGGCCTCCGGTGATTCTGCAGGTTTAAGCTGCGTTCACACCAAAACGCAGCAGGAGCAGCAAAAACGCGTCTGCTGCTTGTACCAGTTTATTCTGATGCGCGGCTGAAGCAGCTTTGCTGCTCTCACTGCGCGGTCCAAAAGTGGGTCTGACACGCGTTGGGTGGAGCTACTCTATCCTTTCTATGCCTTGCAGCTATATTTGCTGTGATCAGTGAGAATAAAGTAGTTTTAATATGTTTTTAAGTGGGAAAATCCACATGAAAACTTAATCAATGCAGTCAGTTCATACAGATTACCATATTATTATTTCTGTCGGAGCCGCTCAGACCCCCACATACCGGCGGTGCGCTGTCAGTAGGAATCCCATTCAACAGCAGCCTCTGGCCCGGTCGCCTCCTCGCGGTTCGCGGCGGCGGCTGGAAAGCAGTTTTCATGTAGGTAATCTAAACTGCAGGCACCAGGATAATAAAAGCGAACATGTTTTGCCGGCAGATTTCTGCTTTTTAAGTTAATTTAGGCGTTTCAGAGGAGTGATCGTAGCGCTCCGTATCATCAGCCATGTCTGTCTCCCTGCCAGCTCCCAGATCAGCGTCTCTGATTGGTTTATGTGGCGCATCCGGCAGCAAAAGTTCAATTTTTCCATGTCGAGCAGCAGCGCGTTTGCGGCGCATCAGATGCTTAAACCCTCCCGACGCGCTGCTTCAGCTGCTCAGAAGCGCTGCTCCTGCTGCTTAAAACGCGCCGCAGAACATTTTACTGCGCCTTGATGCCCGTCAACCATTGACTTTCCATGTAAACAAGCTGCTCCTGCTGCGTTCGGTGTGAACACAGCATTACACGATGCAAGGGATCCCCTCGGTTCGCTCAGCTTCTCTCTTAGTTGTTTTAATAAGAAACTGGCTTTAATGTAACACTGAAACTAGTTTTTTGAAGAAAAAAAAAATCATGAGAGGTCAATTCCTCCTCCTCAAAACCTTCCTGAGCAACATGCTTCAGATGCAGCATCAGTGGGGTATTTAGGCAATACCTTGCTGGCTCTGTGCTGCTGGTGCTTCACATTGATTAACTTCAGTCTTTTAAAACAGGCCCTAGAAAAACCTTTTATCTTCTAACGTCCATCTGGAGTCTTTCAGAATAGATAGCAGCTGTCTAAAATAATATCTAAGAGGGGAAGAAAATATGAAAATACTTCTTGATGTGTAACATTTTAAAAATGCTCAGTTTATTTTAAAACCTGCTGACACTAAAAAAAAAAAAAACAAAAAAAAAAAAACATGATTTTATTTGTTCATATTAGACCGAAATATCAGATATTTTGCTGCTGGCTTTCTGATTAGGCTCCTTTATACTTGAGGCTGACTGGTTTCAAGGCACATCAAACCAAAAAAGAAAAAAATATAATAATTACGCTGAAAACACATAAATGATCCAGAAATGTAACAGAAAACAAATCCAATAACATAAAACAGACAATAGGTAATAAAAAAAATAAAATAAAAACACCAGCAAGAAGAAAAAATACGATCGATGGATGAGTGTTTGACCACTAGGGGGAGTCGACATGGTAATTTATTATTTTTTTAAACCAGTATTTATATTGAGGTTTAATTTAGGTTTTTCTTTGCAGTAACCAGCAGCATGTAGACGTTTTATTTCTAGGTGTCTTTGCTTCCTGACCTCCACTTTTTGCTTGTCCAGAGTCCATTATTGTGGGAGTTCACTGTTGGCTGGAAATGTGCTTAATTCTACATGCATGCATGGATCTCTATCTATATAATTTCAGCATTTACCAGTTACATTTCTATGTCTTTTGGCATGTGGGATGCATATTTTCATCTCCACCACCACCTCAGTGCACATTTCTTCCCTCTCCCCCTCTTAATTCATTTTCTCCTGTCTGTGTTGTTTCAGTCCCATCAGCGGGTGAACACACGTCTGCACGGACGCTTTCAGACCTGGCTGGACACCTGGGCCCAGAAACACGTGACTAGTGAAATGGCAGCCAGCACTCACGAGTGGCTGATGGGTGACGCAAAAGAGGGACTGTTGTCCTGCACCACCACCTGCAGCCCTGAGATCCTCCACTATCTCAAAATCAATAAGTACCGGGTGCAGTACAGGACACTATAGTTAAACTGTTTTAAGCATCTTCACACAACAAACTGCCACCGATGAATTTTCCAACCTTCCACAACTGGACTCTGCTGCTACGAGCTATTAGTTGTATTTTGTTTTTGTTTCCCAGGTCAATATTTTTGCTTTATAACCTTCCACAGATATATTTTAAAAAACGGCACCCATCAGGGTAACCAAACGTTTTGTAAACATAAAGGAAGCGGCTCCAACTCGCTGATTTCCACCACCAAAGCTGAACAAACAGCTGAAGGATTGAAAAACATTAATTTTTTGGGAAATCCCAGTTACCTCTGTTAAGATATCTCTGCTTGGACTTCAGCTGTAAACCTCCTTTAGACTGTGAACGTTTTCAGTCGGTGGTCGAGGTGGAATGATGCTCTATACGTCCATAAAAAAAAAAAAAACAGACTCAACATTTCTGGTACCTGCGCTACTAGATGCTTGACATTGAAACAATGTGTCAAGAACAGTAATTTATAATTGCCTGAGATGTTTTTGTAAATATTTTGTTTATAATTAGATTTTTTTTTTTTTTTATCGGTTGTCATTGCTGTGTAGCAAACGATAATACATATATCTATATATAGTGTCATCAGTTAGCCAGAAGATGCAAAGACTTTTGTCAAGAGAAGGCAACTTTTACTGTTTACTTTTTCTTTTTAACCAAAAGAAGTTATCTAATTATCTTTTTATTTTAATCTGTTCATTGTTTTCCCAAAGTGATAATTTAGTAAAAAAAAAAACAAACTAAAAAAACAGCTCATTTATGAAATAATTGGGTCCCTTTTATGTGCATTTCTATGGTCCGTTTTTAGGAAAACTCACAGTTTTAAGATGATTGAATGTAGCTGAGCAGCCGTTTGTCCTCCTTTATAAATGCACCGTGTGGCTGCTTTTAGATTGAACAGCACTTCAAACTTCCTCCTGTATTGAACTTTGCTAAATATTTCCAATCTGCAGGAGTTTTTAGCGAAATTTCAACTTATCACAGTCAAACTGGACACAAGATTATCTTTAATAATCTGTCGACGATAAAAGTATTTGGGTAAATATCAGCATTGGGAATTCTCTGCAGATAAAAAAACGAGCAATAATTTCTTAAGTCGTGGATTATTAAAGTCAATTTGTATTTCTTGCTGGAATATATAAATGTGGATGTTGAAAACCCATGAGGGCGTGTAAGCTAAGACTTTATATTGCCCTTATTTCATTTTGCCTTTTAATAGATTTGAAATGTCCTCTTTTGATATTTTAGATGAGATTAGATTTAAAAGAGGAGTTCTTATTATTTAATGTTGGAATGTGGGTCTCACACATTAAACCTGAACATGTAAGCAGCAGAATGTCATTTAATTTTACTTGACATGTTGCATGGACAGACACAGGGGGGGGGGGGGGGGGCTTTTACCACAAACAGGCATCACTTCTGAGACGAAAAGGAAGCTTCCAGACAAACACCAAAACTCTGTTTTCTTGGAGGTCCACTAAAGGCAGCGGTCAGTAAAGTATCCAGCTGCAGACAATCTCAGAATAGTTTAATACTTGGGTCTTTATTTTTGTATTTGCCGTGTTTGTTACAGAATAAAGCAGGAAGTCCTAGAGGAGCCGATTGTAAATATACAGAGATTGTTTGTTCCTCGATTAATGTGTCACTTCTCTTGACTTTTATGATGTTGTATATGAGTGTTAGTTTGGTGTTTGGCATTAAAATATCCTTTGAGTAGACTGAAACTCTTCTGCCTTCATTCTGTGGAAATAATACTTCATGTCTGTTAGACATTCATCTCCTTTGTTCATGTTGTTCCTCCTGGGCGTGTTTGCGTTCCCTCCTGGTTCTCTAGCTCCCTCCTACAGACCACAAACCTATCTAAGTTTCTCATCTTCCCATGAGATCCCTGCTATAGAGCACCCCGTCTTAACTCATTCCCAGATCCCTTTACAGCACATAAATGATATTTGCAAAAAGAGAGGGGAGGGTCCTGCATCAAACTTTCTTAACACTTTTATTGGATTAGACCAACTTAGTTCTGCATGTAATGCTAAAAAAAAAAAAAAACTAATGCCACTTATTTATAGGCATGTAAAGCTAAACTCAGTCTCCTAAATTATGTTATAAAATAGTGTTTGGGAAAAGAAGTATTTAAACTCCTTGAACTTTTCACCTTTTATCACATTAATAAGACACATTGCTGCTTTTAGTGAAAGGACCAGTGAGGTAAAGAAAGGAAAAAAAAAAAAAGATTATTTCCCTTAGTGTTAACAGTTAACTGGTAGCAGAACAACAATTGCTGGCTTGTTATGGTAAATATAGTTGGTGATAAGGCTGGATCCACTGTTAATTATAAAGCTTTATTGAAAAAAAAGATGCAGAATTCTAAAGTGAAGCTGGTAACGTTTAATAAACTGCCACTCTAGCTAATAAACCAAAGAACACCTGTGTGTAATTTTAGCAAACGTGTTCTTTTTAGTTGATGAAAACAGCTGTTTTGGGGGAAGATTTCACACAGTTAAGTCAACATGTTGAACAAGGAGCACATCAGGCAGGAAAGGGAGAAAGTTATAGAGACGATTAAACCAGACTCATCTTTAAAAACATTATCTCAGGCCTTGAACGTCAAAGTGAGCATGTTCAATCATCCTCTGCAAACAAACTTCTTAAACATGGGAGCACCATGTTGGGGGAATAAGCTTCAACAGACTTGGATAAAAGTGGAGAAGGAAGAGTTTCTAGGATGGATAAACGAACAGCAAGAAGATTTTTCAAAAAAGTAGTCTAAATGATTGCAGGTACACTTTTTGTATGAAACTTAATACTGCTAAGATTTCATCCAAACAAATAGATTTTTTTTCCTGGTAACATTAGAAAATAAAAAGTTTTGGGTATGAATAATTTTGCAAGGCACTATATTTGAGCTGTTAGCGCTGTAGTTCTTGGCGACGGGTCAGTTGTGTGTTAAATGGATGTCTACTGTGCTCGTACATAGATCCGTGTGCAGACCACATCATCTGCTCCAAAGATCTGAAAGGAAATGAGAGGAAAAGGAGAATTAGACAAAAAAATAACTTATACAGCTAACTAGTTTATCGTCTTTAGGATCATGATCATTTGCTTCATTAGAAGCTTCTCATTACATTTGGTATTTTGAAGACAGATTCCCTCTAGTTTTTCCAAACGTTTCCTCCTCTCGTCCAAAAAAAAATAAAAAATAACAGATTATTTCACAGCAAACGGATGCATGTATGTCAGTAAAAAAAAAAATCGCCAACCAGATCAATGTTTGTTTGGTAAGAAATCGTGTTTCTGCTTAGCAACAAAAAATGTCCTAGTCCAATAGCAGAGTACTGGATTTATATTGATGCGGATTCTCTGTAATTGGATCTTTATCTTTATTTATAGCTCAAATAAAATAAAAATAAAAATCTGGTCTTTACTCAAAGTGCTGAAAAAGGTCCACAAATAAGAAACAACACACTAGAAAATAACAGATGAACAAAACAACAAATAAAATACAATAGAAAATTCCTTTATTAACCCACAATGGTGAAATTCAGGTTTTACAGCAACAAAAAGATTATAGAAAAAATGGCCACACAAATGTGGACCTTAGAGCAGTGTTTAAAAATAAAATAATAGTGAAGAGTTGAAAAATAAAATAAAATACTTCACTGTAAATTGTTTTAACAATATTAATACTTTGCACTTGAAGAATAAAAAACAATAAAAAATGTGATTAAAAGTGATATTTTGCCTTTGAATTGAAATAATAATCTCAGAACATCTATGCATATTAAGAGGATTTTATAATTAGATTTGTTTGTTTATTAATACTGTTAATTAAAAAGAACTGCAGCCATAGATGATTACCAGCCTGACTGTTGTAGAGATTCAGTGCTCCAGACTGCCCCCTTGTGGATAAGTAATTTATATAATTACATTTAATTTTTAATGATCTAATGTTTTAGTAAAAAACTGTTTTTATTTTTTTTTATTTAGCCTTCCACACTTGGGGAGCAGCAGGCAGCTTATCCTGGTTCTTCCTCAGGAATCCTGTATTCCCAGCCTTCTCAGAACATAACTCTGCTCTGACCATTAGCCCACGACTTCCCAGTTCTTTTCCCTGTTTTTCTTTCTCAGAGCAGTGCAGTTTTATTTAAAAAGTGTAAATCAGCTATCAAACAGTTGCAGACCGTCCCCTTGGAACCAAACTAATGTTTTTATAAAACCATATTCTTCACATCTCAGCAGTAAAACAACACATTCATCATTTAGGGTGATGTAGCATCATAACCTTCTGCTGTAATAGTTTAATTTCTGTCGACATGCAGCTGTGATGAAAACCTTCTTGGTCAAAACAGCTTTTTTTTTTTTTCTAAGATTATCATGTACAATAAAAAGCTTTTTAAACTCTGGATGCTGACATTTCCATAATGAACACAGCTCTTTTAAAATCTGTCCTCCAACACAGACGCGGACTGTAGCGCAGGCTATTGTTATTTAAATTGACTTTAATTGAGCATGGCAGCTGTCAGGTTTGCATTCTTAATCACATGTTTTGTTTTCTGGACTAAAACACTGGAGTGCTGGAGATTTATGGGCTTCTTAGGGAGGTTTGGAGAAAAAGGGATCATGCAGCGGTACGTGTCATTACCCCAGGCAGTGTGGAGTAGCAGAATGAGGGGGAAAGAAATGTTGGAGCTAAGCTTAATTGAGCCGTGACGACTCCATCTGGGGAGGGGGGGTATTAGATGAAGGTAGAACCAGGGTTCATTAGCATTCATTAGTGTGATCATTGAGGCCAGAGAGCAGAGGAGGACGCTTGCAGCGCTACACTCCCTGAGTTATCCCAGATTCACCTACCTTCAATATTATTATAAGGTTGATATTATGGGATTGCATTTTTTTTCTTCTCAGGTGAAGATGGTGAAGATTCTCAGTCATCCAGGTCATAGTCATTCCAAAAAAGTACAAACAAAAAAAACAATCCACTTGACTTTGTTTCCAAGTTTTAAAAGTGAGTGAAAGTTTTTAAACTTGGAAACAAAGTCCAGTGGTTTGTTTTTTAACCTTTTTGGAATTTTACCAGTATTTATTAATGTATTAAATAAAATACTGAACTGAACATGTAGGCATAATGCATGGAAAGTGTGTTTTTTCTCCTATTTTCAAACATACTGACTGATCCCTAAATGGTCCTTCTTGTTTATCAGAGATCTCACAGAGTGTAGGAAACATTTTATTGTCATTAGCTGACAAAAAAAAAAGGAAATTACTGAATAACATTTTGGATTATCACAAAAAAAACCTTTTAGTCTGAATTAATATGCTGCCATTCAGTATTACAACTGATTAGTGTCTGTTTTAAAACTGAAAAAAGATTTTAATTATTTAGTCAGTCTATCTCCTGCACTGTTTTTATGTTATAACAATCAGTTGCTGCTCACTTGGATGGCAGCCTTTAATGAACCCTTATGACCGTTTGTATTCATTAACAAGGAATTAAAAGGCAAGCTGTACTGCTCGTGTCTAAATTGATTTCAGATTTATTACCAACATTTGCAAACTGAAGCAATTTTGAAATGGCCTGCCTCTTTTATGAGTTTTTTATTTGCATCCAAGTAGCTTGCAAGAATACATAAAGGTTTGGTTTTTGTTTTATCAGGTGGTTGCAAAAATCTGAGCCATAATTCAGTCACTTTAATTCCTATTCTGATTCATGATATTTAAATTTTATAGTTAGATTATTATTATTATTAATATTATACTAAAGGCACTGTTTGCTTTGTGTTTCTTCCTCATATTGTTTCAATAGAACTCTGCAGGATCTATTTTGCTTTTTATTTATACTTTTTACTATATTCATTGTGCTTTAACCTCTTGTAATTAAGATTAATAAGATCTTTTCATTTAATATGAAATATACATAAAAAAGTTAGCAAGTAAATACACAAAATGTTTTCAGTATTTAAGAAAATCTTGATTTGAAATATTAAGGATCTAGGAAAATATTTTTTAGAGTAAACTGAGAAAAACACAGGTGGTGTTCCCAACCATTAGGGAACTTTAACCATCCCTGCCTGCGCAGGCAGCAGCTCTAAAGTTTACTGAGTCCATCTTGACCTTTTTTCTCTCACAAATGTTTTTTGATCTTTTTGTTATAGTGAAAAAAAAAAAAACCTTCCCAAAAGAATCGATTCCAAGATGCCTATCAGATTATGGTCTATCACTCCAGCATGAATATACAAACACACCCCTGTGTTAAACAAAAACACATTTAGAGAGAATAACTCTCTGTCTCATTTGAAAACCTACATTCAGTCCAAATTACTGCCTCTCCCAAACGTTTCCCTGATTGCCTCTCTGCAGAGAGGAGTGAGTCAGTGTCCGTACAGACATCTCAGTCCAAGCCAAGCTGGACCGCTTCCTTCTTTTTTAAATGTCCAGCTGGGCAGTAAAACCCGAAACTTTTCAAAGGCGGGAACTGGAAGCAGACGTGTTTCTGATGGATGCAAGGCCGCGAGGCGTCGGGAGGAATGCAACAACAAATGAAGCAGCGAAACGTTCAACTCTTGCAACCTGCTTCTCTGCAGGAAGCCTGAGAAAAGCTGCAAGGTTTTTGCTTTCATTGGGGGAAAAAAAAACTACAAAAAACAAACTCTGTTCATATGTGCTATATTAAAGATTCCGAGTATGTGATTAAATGTTTTTTCAGTTTACTGGGAGATTTCAGACGACTTCCTAAAAGTCAGGCTGTTTTATTATGGATTAAAAAGGTTCTTTATTTTTACCACATTATGCTTCACACATAGAACCATATGAAAATAACCCTGATGTATATTTTTACCTCAAATGTACAAAGAATTTACAGTATAATTTCCACGCAAAGGTGAGCCTAAAGGTTGATTTTTAGAGTAATACATTTCTACATTATGTCAAATAGAGATGACATATTGAAAAACATAAATAAAAATGTATTTTAGATACAGGAATGTTGCCCCACTGACCAGTGTGTCCATGTATAACTGATATCAGACAGCTGTTCTCTATAGTTGACTCTGGCGTCTATCATCCTCTATCTATTATCTTTGGGCTTCAGGTCAGTTGATTTTGTTAACCTTTTAATCACAGTCATTACAGTAGATATTGATACATTCAGTCAGGCCCTAACAGAATACTCTATTAGCATATCCACAAAGCTTAGCAGAGGGAAGCAGAAAGCTAAACTTCAGTATGAAAGCTAAAACTTTCATTCAAAAAGAAGACTTGACACCACTAACATCTAAAGATGCTTCTGACATCGCTTCTTAATCAGTAATTAATAACCTTTAAGCCAAATCCTGGATTATATTCTCATTAAAGTGCTTTTCTTTCACTCAACCGTCCTTTAATACTCTATTAAAAACAGCCCGTTTGTTTTATACACTGGAAAAAATCTAAATCTAGATAAGTCAGTTTTTCTTAAAATAAGTGCATTTGTTCTTGAATTGAGGGGGTAAAAGTGACATTTTGCCAATGGAACAAGACAATTTACACTTTAAATAAGAAAACACAGTTACATTGTCTTATTTTAAGTGCATTTTATCTAATAATCATATTTTAAGAGTAAAAACCCTCATTCCATTGGCACACTATCTAATTTACCTACTCAAATTAAGGGTAAATACACTGAATTTAAGAAATTGTTACTTATTTCTAGACCGTTTTTCCAGTGTAAAGTTGTTGCTAATTCTACTAGTGGAAGTTCTGCTGGACAAATGTTAGATCAGCAGTGATTGACAGCTAGAAGATTTTTTCTAAGTTAGCAGAAATAGGCACCTCCACATTTGTGTGACCAATTTTGCTATAATCTTTTGCTGCTGTAACATCCCAATTTCGCCAATGTGTGACAATAAAGTGATTTTTCATTCTTCTATTCTAAAAAAATCCCTCAGGTTGTAATTATTCTGTAGGCATTTTACTTTGGGTGTATCTTATTAAAATAGATGAACTAATTGAAATTCTGAGAGAATAAAGATTGTAGTTATTGTTCAGACTGTATATAAGAGAATATTTAGGTAAGAAGCCATTTCTGGAAGATAAAAACACATCTGTCAGACGTCTTTGTCCTAATTCGAGGAGTGGGATCCTGTTCAGACTGCAAACTACAGGGAGTCAAAAATATACTGGTCTCCTAAAAAAAATGATACCAATGATAAAATGTACGTGGATATTAAAGAAAGGTGTAGGATATTTTACTACAGTGTGAAAATATTACATCTTTAGATGGGATGGCCAGCATGTTTTCATGGGAACACAGAAAAGCTTGGAACAAAAAATCAAGGCAAAAGTTTGGTCACGTGACTTAGTTTCATTAAAATGTTATGTTGTTCCTATTGAAAATTTGTATTTTTGTTTCAAAAATGTTTTAAAAAACTCCCTTTACATGGAAAAATAAGCAACTTAAATAATAGGTTGCTAAATAAAAGATTTAAAAAAACATTTTGTTATTATGCACATGCATAGTGCATAAATATTACATATTTATGAAAATAACTGGTTTTAATTCAATCAGATTAAGAACTTCAATAAAACTGAGAAATTATTATTAATCACCTTAATTTTAAAATAACAGAACAGTAAAGCAAAAGAAAATGGTCACCATCTCTGATCCAGTACTAGAGGGGCCTTAACGGGGTCAGACCAGCTCAACATGGGCCCTGGCCCCCGTTGGCCCCTCTCTAGAACTCTCCATGTGTGATTATGCCTCTGCAGTCAAATAGAGAATATTTACCTCTTATTTTAGCAGGAGAGCCAATAGCACTAAAAGGTGCTTTTGGTGACCTATTCATGAACAACATTTTATCCCACAGTGATGAAATATGATTGATGATCTTATCCTGGAAGAATCTGTGATTCCCATGGAAATACGTACATTTTTAAAATAAAACCCAGACGGTTCCTTCACCCCAGCCCTGTGTGCTGTTTACCCATGTGAATAAAGGCAGTGATTTCCAAGTCTGTCACTTTGTGAATCATCCAAACATCTGTTTGGAGATTTTGTTATAAATCCATCACTCTAAGACGACGAGTGTGTTTGAAAACCCCAGATTAAGAAAAGCAAACAAAAAGCGTTATATAAAAAGGAGGCCGTTCTTGTGAGTTCAAACTGTAATCAATGCCTGAAGCAAATTTCTTCTCTCCTTTTTCATCATTATGATATCAGAAGTAAACTCTCACCAATATGAGTTCATCCCCTCTGAGTTCTCGGCTCCAGAAGGTTTTTGGACCGTTCGCGCTCAGCAGAGTCTGTTTGCAGTAAATCTTGTTTTCTGTCTCCCATGTGGCCAAACTCTGCAGAAAATCATTAGTTGAAAAACTTCACAATCAGCCTCACCTGTTTGCAGGGAAACAGTCAGAGGCTATTTGAGTGGATCTACTGTAAATCCCAATTATGACACTAAAGTTTCAGGGTGTTTCTACTTCACTGTTATACATCTGTGCATTTTTATTTTCTTAACAGCAGTTCATCCACTGGTTGGTTAAAGTTACCTTACACTTCCTGCCATCCACCGTCTCCTCGTCAAACTCCTGGCCTATGGTGAAGTTGATCTCCGTGGTGCGGACTGTGGTGGAGGTCTTGATGTAGAAGTGGTCGCCGCTCTGTTTTATCTCCACATGGGGCTTGGATGCAGCCGCCCCTGCTACCTTCCTCAGCATGGCGTTCACTCCTGAGATTCAGACACAGAAGTCAATCCAATATTGATTTTGAGTCCTTATATTGAAGTCCTTCCACTGACTCCCTGAAGCTCAGAGGATAAACTTTAAAATCCTTCTGTTAGTCTATAAATCACTGTTGTCAGTGTATCAACCTCCCAAACCAGTCAGGTCTTCTAGCTCAAACCTACTCTGTACACCAAGAACTAGAACCAAACATGGAGAAGCAGCATTTAGTTCCTATGCTCCACTTATCTGACTGTAAAAGTGCTGAAAACCTGAGATCCTTTAAATCAGAGTTAAAAACCCATTTGTTTAGAGCTTCCTTGTACTGCTGAATTTACAATAAATTAGGTATTAATAGTATAACTTTGTGGTCCAACTGTTTATTTTATTTACTACCTGCTTTATGTTTTTTTTTATTTATTTATTTACTTTTATTTTCTTTTTATTTTATTTTTTACTTCATGTAAAGCCCTTCGAATTGGCCTTGTACGGAATTGTGAAGAGGAAAGGAAATGATAGATGGTTTTAAAAGGCCCTCAATAAAGTTAATAAACCTTAATTAAGTTTGATTAGCCAAATTAAAATAAATTAAACCAGCTTCAGTCAATTTGATCTCAATATAAAAGTAGCTGTCCCCTAATCTTCTCTGTTAGCTTTGTTCGAGAACGTTGGGAGGCAAAGTGTCATGGCAACCACTGAAGACCCTGTGAACTGGGTCTGATGAAGAGCTGTGCAGAAGTTTAATAAATGGAAACAATAAAGAAAAAAACAATAAACCTTTTCCCCTAAACCAGACAAAGAGAAATCAGAGAAACAGCCAGGAAGTTGAAGTGAGGAATCTTCTGAGAGAAACTATGGCAGGACTCATCACTAAGACAATCCTCCTAAACGATACGATAATGGTGGCAGCATCATGCTTTGTTCTCAGAATGTATAGTGAGGCTGGGCAACGATGGATAGAAGGGGGCTTAATGAAGAGTTATCGGGAAAAATTAAAAATCAGATGGTGTCTGTTGAAGCTTAGGTTCCAGAGTGACATCACATAGGTCTGGATCCGGACCTAAATCCAATTGGGAATCAATGTCAAAATGACTAATGTTGACAGATGATCTCCATCCAATCGGAGGAAGCTTTAGTCACTTTGTAAAACACAGATCTGAAAAGTCTCCATCCCTGGATGTTTAAATCTGATGGAGAAATATCCTAAAAGACGTGCAGCTGATCCCCTTTTTAGAATCATAGTAGAAGACTTTGAAAACCAGGTGTCCTCTCCTTCCCACCGCACAATTATTCACTTTCTATACATAAAATACATTAAGTTAGAGGGTTTAATGTAAGATGTGAAAACTTTAGAACAGGCCTTCTATCAGAGGATGTCAGAGGTAATATTTTTGTTCTCTCTTTTTTTTAAAATATCTATTTTTTAAAAAGGGGCTTTCTAGCAGCTGCATGTGAGAAAATTTTCAACAGATGTTGCAAATCTGGAGGTCGTAGCAGAGGGTGATGAGAGGGAAGAATGTTGATCCTGTCTGCTTTGTTTGACTCTCCGGTAGATTATGATAAATCCTGTCCAATAAAAGTTTGGAAGAACTATGAACCTCTTTGAAGAAACAGACAACAGAACAGCAAACAATCCAACGGGAAGCTGCTTTCTGTTGTTTCCACCGTTATCTAGGATGAACTCAAACTAATGCAGAGAGCAAGAACACTGTGCTTCTGTTATTTAGGCAGAGTCCTGCTCCCTGCAGATTTCATCAAATACATAAAAAAAACCCTGCAGTTCTGAGTTAAAGTCACAGATTGAAGACATCGGTGTAAAACCGTATAATTTTAGTGTTCTGGGATGACCTTAGATGTGATCTATCAGTCTTACACTGCTTTGATTTGTAAAAATATGTCCCAGTTCAGTCTTTGTGTAAAACAAACAAACGTACCATTTAACCAACAGAAAAAAACAGTGCTTACCCAAAGCTTTAAGCAGATCATCAAAATTCTCGCTGCTTTTCATTTTCCAGGTACCTGAAAAATCAGCCATTTTTCTTGTCCTGTAGTGAGCCGACCAACGCCTCCAATCTTTTGACTCCTCAGCTGCCTTTCTTTAGGCTCTTTCTCTCCGTCCATCTCTCCTCTCCCTCCCTCCCTCTCTCCTCCCTGTGTGTAATGATCCAACACATTGGACACCCCCCCTCCCCTCCACCTCTGCAGACACATATTTACACACATTTACACACTTTTCTGATAGTTTACTCCCTCAGAACATATTTTAATATCTGGCAACTACAACTAAAGTAAAAGCATAAAGCAGATATTCAATGATTTAACTCACCATGGAACAAACAGAGCTCAAACCGAATAAAATTGGCAACCACAGCAGCCATCAAATGATAAATTGCACAGAGTCTTTCAGATTGCTGAGGGGAAATTTTGGCCGACGTTTCTATTGAGAATGGTTTTCATTCAGTCGGGCTGGTTTTTATTTGTACATAAAAAAGCTTGTTTAATGTTGTGCCTCCGCAACTATTGGATTTGAAATCCAGACTCTGACAAACCTCTCCAAAATATTTATTTCTCTTATTTAGATTTTTTTTTTCAAAGATGGACTCGCTGGGCAGCCAGCCCAGTGTTGATTGAGCTTTTAACCGATGGTCTGTCTTGTGGGTTGGTTCTTCTTTTAGAGAAACTCATTAATGGTTTCATAAATCAAACAAAGTCATCCGGTTCCTGAATTGGTAAAGCAGACCCAGACTATCACACTTACACCAACATGTTTGTCGGTATGATGACCTTTCTCTAAAATATGATGTTAGATGGAACATGAGGCACAATTTGCACAAAGTTATTATTTCTACCTCTAAAGTCTACAGAAAGTCTTTGGGATCATCCAGACATTTAATTGGCATGCGTGAGACAATGCTTCCTGTTCTCTTTGGTCGACAATGTTCAACCCTTTCATGGTCGCCTTCAGTGTCTTTGTTATTGTGAATAATTTGAGGACAGTGATGCCTACAGAGTTGTAGGATGTTATCTTGGGGCCCATTCCTGGAAATGTTCATATTTTTTACCATCTTTGGCTCTAACTTAATGGCTTTGTTACCCTGACCAGACGAACTCTGTTCCTCATCTGTTCTTGTGGGCCAAGGAACCGGCCTACAAGACCAGTCACCCTGACCTCCCACCTGATGAAGACCATGGAGCGACTCATCCTAGCCCTGACATGAGAGTGGAGGATGCCATCATCTACCTGCTGCAGTCAGCGCTCAGCTACCTGAAGACCACAAGGAGTGCAGTGAAATGTGCAGTGAAATTCATGTTCTTTGACTTTTCCTAGCTTTTAACACCATCAGACCAGAGCTGCTGAGGGGAAAGCTGGAGGATACTGGAGTGGAGAAACATTCTGCTGCCTGGACCATCAACTACCTCAGTGAACGCCTTCAGTACCTGCGGCTGCATGGCTGTCAGTCAGAGATGGCAGACTGCAGTACCGGGGCCCCCCTGAGAACAGACCTGCCTCCGTTCCTCTTCACTCTTTACCCCTCTGACTTACCCTACAACATAGACAGCTGCCATCTCCAGAAGTTTTCCGATGAATCGGCCATTGTAGGCTGTGTTTCTGAGAGGAATGAGCTGGAGTATCGATCGCTCATCATGAACTTTTTGGACCGGTGTGAGAAGAACCACCTGTGTCTTAACAATAGTAAGACCAAGCAGCTGATGATGGACTTCAGGAGAAGACCCCCCACCTCACTCCCCCATGAATATCCAGGGGCAGGACATAGAAATACATCAGTAAACTGGACTGGACTCATAACACAGACGCCCTGTATAAAAAGGGCCAGAGCCTCCACCTCCTGAGGAGGCTGAGGTCCTATGGAGTGAGCAGGCCCCTGCTTTAAACCTTCTATGACTCTGTGGTGGCCTCAGCGCTCCTCTATTCTGTCGTCTGCGTAGCACCTGGCAACGCAGAGCAAGACATAAAGAGACTGAACAGACTGGTGAAGAGGGCCACTTCTATCCTGGACTGTGGAGGAAGTGGCCGAGAGGAGGGTGTTGTTCAAGCTTACATCCATCATGGACACCTTCCACTCTCTGCACCAGACTGTAAAGAAGCTGAGCAGCTCCTTTAGTGAAAGACTTTTACACCCTGTTTGTAAAAAGGAACGCTACCGCAGGTCATTCATCCCTGCTGCAACCAGACTCTACAGTGGCACACTACAATGGCAATAACTTGGATAATGTATAATGTGCAATTTACTATTTGATACCCTGTGCAATAACCTGTTTCTCTAAATCTGACATCCAGTGCAATAACTATATACATAAACATCCATCTATATAAACACCCATGTAAATACCCTGTGCAATAACCCAGTATAATCCTACTATTAAAACAAAAACTGTCATATGTGGACACACTGTATAAACTGTATAAATTCCAAGCACCTTTTTCTTCCTTGGACACCTTCTTCTTCTTGTTTGACTATCTGAGCTGATGCAACGAGTACATTAAAGTCAATCAATCAAACAATCAATCGAATTCATTTAGACATGATGTGTTGCATCTTAAGATTGCTTATCCAACCTCATGTCACAAAGTTTAAATGTTTTCTAGACTCTAAAGGGGTGGCAGTGATCAGGCGTGGGTGGGGCTAGAAACAAACAAAAATGATGGGTTTATTTAGATAAGTGTATTTGATCTAATTCATGGCTTAAAAATGTTTAAATCCAATCAGAAGTAGTTAGGTTTGCTTAGATTTTATCCACCAATAATTTTATTTTGCATGTGTTATTTTGGCTATTTTCTGAATTTGTTTAATGATCTAAAACATTTAAGTTTCTCAGTATTAACTTTTAATACGTTTCTTTTCAAAAACTCAAATCTGTACCTTTTACTCCTTGAAATCCAAAAAGTGGAAGTGGGGTAAATGTAACATTGCTCATGTTAATGTTGCAGAAAATTGTATTAGAAACTCTTAGTTACTTTACATGACTTATAATAGATAATCTGCATCATTAATCCAGGCTAGAGGTTAAAGCAATCTGCTAAGAGAAGCTCCAAGTCTAAACTCTGCCTCTATAACCTTATAGAGGTTAATCTCATGTTTAATACAGAAACATATGAATGATTATTTAAACATTATATTGACCTGCGTGTCACTGTGCCATGGGGGGACATCCTGTGTAAAAAACACAAAAAAGGATCATGTAAAGCAGAGGTCTTCAACAGGGGGTCCGCGACCCCTAGGGGGTCCGCGGTGGTACTGCATGGGGGTCGCGAAAGTCTTGGTTGATTACTTTTTTTTAATATTCCCTCCTGCAATTTTTTGCACTAATTAAAATGTCTTTAAATACACATTAACATTGTCATGAATCGTGGACAGATGGACCCAGTATTCAGGAGAGACAGTCAGTAGGAAAGTTCAAAAGATTTATTAAAATAAAAACAAAGCGGAGCTGTGGCTCGCGGACACTGCAGGCGGGGGGGCGGGGCACCGCCCGATCTCAGACACTCTAGGGAGGAAACACAGGTAAGTGACAACGATAAACTGATGTATGATTATCTGTGTTGGTCACTTACCTGGTTTAACAGTCCAGACCACGAGTGTCCCCAGTGCTGCAGTCCCAGAGGTGACGCTGGAAGCCGATCCTGGTGAGGGATCCAGAACAGACAGGAACAGAGACAGGTGGCGGGATCCAGACTTCCAGACATCCACAGGCTTCCAGGAGGGTTCAGAGTCTGACTGGGACCAGAAGCATGACCAGGTGGTCACGCACAGGAGCAGACAGGATCAGGTGCAGACAGGCAGGCACAGTGGAAGAGGGTAGCCGAGACAGGACGTAGGAACCGGAACTTGAAGCAGACTTTAAACTGGTCTCCACCCTGGAGCCAGGCTTACTTTGATAAAAACTGAACCTCCCCCCATAATGAACCAAAAACCCAGAGGACTCCGCAGGGGAGGAACAGTGGACGATCAGGAGATGTGACAAACACTAAAAACCTCTTTCCACTGGCAGCTAGGATCCAGGACATGAACCAAATAAAAAGTGAACAGAAAGACTGACAGAAAGACAAGCAATGATCTGGCACTGAATGCTCAGGCTGAACTGAATATAAACCAGAGGAAACAGGTGAGAGGAATAAATTATAATTGAAGCTGGGAAGGAAGAGGGCAGGTGAGGGGAATTACTAATTAGGGGAGAGCAAACAGGCCAGATCATGACAAACATGAATTCAACGCACTGTAGGAAACAGATAAATGGAAGCAGAAGATGTCTTTCAGTCATCAATGCACACATTTAGTGACACACAGGAGCTCTTTCAAACCAGGGCACCATTTCATTCACAACACCTGTCCCATCAACCAGGAATCAGAATCAGAAATACTTTAATAATCCCAGGGAGAAATTACTTTCGTAACATGACTCCATATGTAATAAAGTGACTATAGGACCAGTTTGATAAAACACAATTTCATACAATATATCTAATTAGGGGGTCCCCGCTCCATCTCGCAATCAGTTTGGGGGTCCTTGGCTTCGAAAACGTTGAAGACCCCTGCTGTAAAGCACTTACAGTCAGAGTAACTGGCTTATTTAAAATCTAAGGGAGTGGAGATGAATCTATGTCCTAAACTTTGTGTTTTTAGTGATTTCCGCCCTTGAAAGTAAATGAGCCAAAAAGAAAAATATTTATTGCTAAACTCATGGAAATCTTTAGCAAACCACATAAACAGACTTGGCTTTCTACAACCGAACTTATTTATGATTGAGGGTTAAAAAAACAAAAAACTTTGAGAATTTCTTTGTGGGTTTAAAGATGTTTTCAAGATGACTAAAAAGGGTGAAGCCACCTAATTATTTTATCCATTGGAAATCTTCTCAGTACTTTCTTTAACAGAGTTTATTTTTCGATAAAGGCTATCTCTATTGATATGCAGGCTTAGACTGCTGGAGGACATAGGAACCCCAACATTCTGCTTCGTTCTATCTCTATTCTCCCATTCTGCAGTAAACTCTAATGTTATGCTCTCTTTGTTTTTTCTCAGAAGTAGCTTTATTAGGTCTGTTCCTGTTTGGCTGTGACTCCATCCTAGAGAGAAATATCAGCCATAAACATCCTTGTTTGTAGATGTTGGAGCTTGGTCTGTTTTTCAGTGTAGTCCTGTTTCTCTGACTGTGGCTAACCGTATGGGCTCTCTTTCATCCTCTGACATGGGAGTTGGTTCGAAGCTCGTCTGCCTGACTGTGTGTTTCCCGGACAGGACAGCCTGTGGAGCTGGGTGACAGTTACCTTGTATCCTTGTCCCTTTCTGTATGTCTGCTTCTGTCTCCTTAAGCCCCAGTCGGCCTCTGCAGATGGCCGCTCACATTGAGCATGTTTCGGGTTCTACTTTCTTCCTATTAAAAGGGAGCTCTTCCACTAAGGTCCAATCAACCTTTAAACTAATCTGACTGTATGATCTGGTTACATTTTCTTGGTAAAGTACCATGGGATTACATATATTGAGAATTCAAGCAACATATAAAAAAACTGAAGTGAACCAACTGTTGGACTACAGCTCCATAGACCGCCCTCATGTAACATGTAATAATGTAAATATGTTTTATTTATAGAGCTGTCACCTAGACAGTACTTTCGTGTATTCAATGCACATTCTAATAAATACTTAAATATTAAAAAACATGTTTAGCAACATATCTGTCAGAAAAGAAAGATTTTAACTAAAAAATGCTTTAGTGCTGCATCAACTTCATTTCCTTTGTAAATGTCCTTCAGTTTCTGTGCACACAAACACAAACTAAAGCGACTTAAAGAAACACAAAACTAATGTCTCTATAAACTGTTTTTAATTAACTGAACCTGACATGAAACATACTTTTCTAAGTCACTCTCAATGAAGGCAATAAAGGATCTTGACCTTTCCTTATATTTGATTCCTTCTGCTTTAATCTGTTCCTGCTCCATATGGGCCGGTGGAACAAATGTACTTAATGGTTACAGCAATGTGCCAAATTTTACTGCAACTCAGCAATGTGATTAAAAAACAACTCTAGATTTATCTTAATGTGGAACATGTATTCAGTGCTGACAGCTTTTATGTGCATTCTTACTATAAATAATAACACAGATTGTAAAAACTCTTCCTTCTAAAAGGTCTCTGGATATTTTTAAATCTCCACACACCCTTTACGTTGCTATCCTCCTTTCGATCATTTTGGGCTCGATCTTTTCCACAGCCACCATAACATCCCATGAGAATGAGGGGCCCTTCCTTTAACCCCGGCAAAGTCAGATTTGTTCCCTTTCTGACAGTTCCTCATCAATCTTTTTGACAAAGTGCCTCCCAGACAAGGCTTGATAATTAAGGCACAGAGGAACAGAGAAGGGGGGCACTCTGTCATCCCACCAGGAACTGTCAGAGAGCCTCAAAGAGGGCCTCCCTGTTTGTTTCATTCATCTGTGGATGTGTCTCTTGGTCTCTGGGCGGTTTCACTTCCAAAAGACGACGCTGGGATTACAATGGAGAAAAAATGTTAAGTGAAACTTGGAAAAACCTAGAGCTGTAGAGATCCAGTCTGGTTCCCTCTGTTGGCCAGTTTATAAACTTTTGTTTTCTAATTAATCAGTCATCTATGTCTGTATGTTTAATATAGAGAAGTATTTACATTTGTAGTATCCTGCAATGTGTAGTACAGTGAAATATGTCTGCTGACCAATGCATAGAGGATCTGTTTTAAAAACTCTAGAGAATAAATGAGGTTTAATTAACATCCTAAAGGTGCAATAATTCATCTATTCAGTAAATCGTCTTTTTAAACCGATGCTTTAATTTTTATTTCCAACCAACAAAATGAGATACGACCTTTCGAGACAGATTTTTCCTTTCCATAAGATGTATGGTCGCCCGACGGTTATGCTCACATCAAGAAAGCACATTAACACAGCTTTTTTTCCCCTCACAGCCCTTATCTGAAAATAGACACAGGCAGTGACCCGGGTCAACATGTTCTAATCCGTTTTGTTGCTTATCTATAGTCAATAACTCGAGCACTAATCATGTGGGTGATGCCAAACACAGTCATCAGTAACAGACTATTTTTAACAGATAAAAACTAAAGCTTTTTAGCCAAACACTGAGAAAAATGCTTTAAAAAAAAAATCTTAAGTTAGACTCACAATACAAACCAGAAAATACAGGAAGTAATTTTTATTTCTGATAAAATCATTTAAAGAATAAGAGAGACCAAAGCTAAACTAAACCCATTAAAAAAAATGGAAGGTTGATGTCGGCATGGATGAGTTAGGTTTTTATTCTTTCCCCCATAACCATTGCTATATTTTAGACATTCTAATAAAGACAGTGTATTCTAGAATGGCCAGTTTTCTCTGGTGAAATGAGGCAAATTAACCAGTGCAATGCTGCTCCACTGTGCTTTTAGACCGGGCATTGCCATTAACCTAGCACTTTATTCAAACTATATTTGGGAGGCTATGTCATTGGTAGAATGAAACACATCAAACAGTTTATCCTATGAAGAAAAAATAAATCTAGCCAAAGCTTTAATGTTTTTGCTTAAAGGGAGCTGTATAAACAGTATTTTTGCAGGAGGCGTGATCACCAGGCATAAAACATTGTTGTTCACAGTCACCATCTGCTGGCAGCACTAATTTAAACACCCATCACCAGCCTTGCAGGTTTGAACTCCTGCTCTAATAAACTCGTGTTCACATCGTTTGCTAAAAACTGTTGGAATCTAAAACTTTTTTTCACAATTTTACATATTTTGAACTTTTCCTCCCTCTTTTTACACATCTAAAGGAAAAATGCTGACTTGCTTGCCTCCATTACTTCCCTGTTTACTTGGTAAAATAAAATTTGTACCTCTAATCACATGGTGATTATAAATGCCAAAATACACCCCATATGGTTTAGAATTAACTTAAAATAACTTTTCAGATATCTATTCTCTTTTTAGGTTTTACATTTAATGCCCCTTTTCCCAGTTTTTCATCTCATTCTTAAATAATTTAAATCAACAAACATAACTTCTTCTGATGTTCTACTTTATGCATTTAAATGAGCAAACATGAGATCCGTGTTCAGCAGCGGGTGCAAACATGTTTGACCTTTACTAATTCAAAGAAGACAGAGCAAATATCACTGCTGAAACCACATTTATTTTGGAGCAGATGTATTAACAACAGTAGACTGGTTAATCACAAAACTTAAGTCAGTATATTTAGTGATATTCAGAGTTGTGCAAAGCAAAATACAAATTGAAAGCCATTAATATTGGTGAGGAGACCTGCAGGCCCGTTTTATCTCTATAGTTTACATCTAAACAAGTTTGGATAAACAAACCTGTGCAGTTATGGCTTCAATAAAAACAAACATCTTTCTGCAACCATCTGCCAAACAAACCTGTTCTTACTTTCAGTCCGTTTGCAAAATCTCCAGCAAAAATAGGATCCCTTCTATAAATTTAGCAGATCCAAATTTAAATCTGAATGTTTTCTCCATGAGGACATTCATACAACAGCAGCAAACTGCATCGAGCAACAATAGTTTCACACAAAGGAACCAAAAAGCAGTCAAATGACAGACATTAGAAGTCTTGTGTTCATTTCCCCCCAAAAGAAAGATAAATTAGTTAAAATTAGCTCCTTTAAGATATGTTAATGCACACCAACAGGAAATTAAGATTCACATTTTGTACTAAAAAGGACAAAACTGTATTGCACTCAGATTTCACAAAGGGGTAAATATGTTCACTTTCAGTTGCTTTGAGAGTTTAAAAAGAAAACTGGGAAAGATTTAATTTATACAAACTTTATGGAGCAACAGAGACAACAATCATGAACTCTAAATGACCACTGTAACACCGGGAAAGTATCTATTAAAATACTCCTAAAATGGTGAACATGTTTAAACGAGCCACATAAAACTTTTCATCCTGTCGAATTTTTTAACAAGAAAAAAAAAAAAAACAACACAAAGATTGTCCAGATTTTGACTAAAGGCAATATTTTAAAAAAGCCACTTTGGCAAAAATAAAGAACAGAGAGGATTGTTCCTGATTAAAGCAGCTCTCTGCTTCAGGACAAGTTTAGAGTCACAACAAAAATGATGAAATGTACCTTTTATCAACCCAAAGAAAGGATTTGGGCAGATATCAAACATAAAAATGTTTCCTGCTGTTTATCATTGTTTCAATGCTTTTTGTTTGAAAGAAATTACACTGAAACAGACATAATAAACCTTTTGTCTTTTTTTCCTAAAGTAACAAACTCATAACTTTACTGTTAAGGGAAAAACAAATCTGCCCAGACAATTGATCCAACTCTGCTGATTTTGAAATAAACTAAAAATGTCAACAGGAAAGGGATAAAAATGGCACATGGTCCAAGTAGTTTAAAAGCCTTTCTACCAGTGTCTGGAATCTACCAGCTCGGGCCGCAGGCTCAGTTTTTTCAGCGTTTCATAGCCGACCACAATAACGATGGCAGTGGGCGTGGATGAGATGATGCGAGCCGACAGTCCTTTGGTCAGTCCCCAGCAGCCTTCCTCCCTGATCAGCTGCCTGAACGTCTCAATCACCGAGTTCCTCCCTTCAACCTGAACACACAAACACACCTTAGTACTGAGGTACAGCAGGGGAAATAACTCTGATCCCCTGCTGAATGTTATATTGTCAATTCAACATGAAGTTAAAGGGTCTTCGTTTTTGTGGTCAATTACAGCAAAACACAAAATATCTGTTGAAAATGCATGAATGATGGTATGAAAGTTATAGAACTTTAAACTGAATGAGATTAACATTGGATCCCCAATCAGACCACAGGTTAATACTTGGGAGAGTAACACCTATTAAAGGCACAGCAATAAAACATTTCTAGTGGTTTATAACTGGCTCCTCTCTGCAGAATGTCTCTAAGTAATTCAGGTTTCCAGGCATCCATTTTTTTTTTTATTAAAAACCTTCAGCTCCCTCCTCAGGTTTTCTTTTGGTTAAAAGTCAGGAGACTGACGAGGTCACTTCATGACCTTAATGTGCTTTTTGCTGAGCCGCTCTTTGTTGTCCAGTCATTGTGTTTTGGGCCGTTTTCATGCCAGCACATGGCCCCTATCAGTGCGACATGAGTTTTCCTTTACCCTTCACAGAAAAACAGACAAAACTCAGGATGCTTCGACCTCCTCCGTGCTTCTCATTTAGGACAATTTTCATATTTGCTCATCCTCCAAACGTGGTGGTTTGAGTTGATTTCAGAATAACTCCACTTTGGCTTCATCTGACCACTGCACATTCTCTCAAACCTTTTTTAAAATCATTTAGTTGTTGACTGGAATATGGACCATTCCGCTGTGTTCTTCAAATGAAATTTTAGCCCAGTAAGTCACAGAGTGTTATCCACTATTTTCTTGCTGACCGAGGTCCCAGCTGTCTTACAATCATTAACAAGCTGCTGTCATATAAATTATCTTTCTCTCCATCATCGTCTTACCGCAAACAGGAATTTATGGCTACTGTCCATCTTATGCAATATGACCAGTTTCTAATAAATAAACCAATGGTCATCATCTTTTCCCCAAGCATTTCAGCTTATGGTTTGGTTACCCATTCCAGGCCTACTAGTTCATTCCTGACATCTTGACAGCTCTTTGGTCTTTCCCACGGTGGGAAACTGAATAAATGTACTTTATAAAACCTGAGGAGTTAAGATCAGTAGTGGGGCTCAACGATTTTGCAAAACATCAAAGTTGTGATTATTTTTAACCGATATTGTGATTATGATTTTCCTTTGCATTAAGCACCAGCCTGTCAATGTTTTACTCCATTGTTTCAGCTTTTTCATAACATTGAAAGCCTCCTTGTCCAGAGCTGCAGGACTTTACTATAACACTTGCATGAAAACGTTCTTACATCTATGATGCATAGATCTAGGGGTTAGCTGTAATTCTCCTCCCTTCTACCCAATTTAATGAAATTACTGCCACCTAAGGGTCTGAAGGGATAAATCTATCTTATGCTTGTTAAATGTATGGTGACTAAAATTGAGCGCTTCTGCAACTTGAAAATTGTATTTTTCTAAATTGCAATTATATTGCAAATGCAATTAATTTCCCAGCCCTAATCGGTAGTTTTGGTAATTAACTGATTGCACACAGCTGTCTGAAAAGTCCCTCAACTAATCAGTAGAAACAAAATCCATGGATGAGCTGAAGGGAATCAAATTCTTATTTCATTCAATACAATTAACTTTTCTTTAAACCTTCATACTCATGTTTTTTCAAGTGTTTAGACAACAGCCACAATCAGTAATTTATGGTAAAAATGGAAGCTTGTTCATTTCTTTGAGATTAAAAATGTAGAAACTAAGCAGCAGGTCAAAATGATTACTTTCCTCTCTTTAAATAACATTGACCAATCACATGGTTTTGGTTGAGCCCTAAACTTTATATATTTTACAGAAATTACTTTTTAATTGCATCAGTGAATCTAAAATTCAATTCATTTGCAGATGACATGTGACATTATTCATGTAATACAGTATAATCAAAGGGAAGCAAAGAGTTTGAAAGAAAAGGCTTCAAGTTATTAAACTGAAAAATAAAACTAACAATAAAGCATTTTATATGCAAGAGCAGAAAGATTATAAAAAAACACAGATTACTATAATCCAGTTAAATATCATTAATGCTGGGACACACAACATGCTTAGACATCAAAATTACAATATCTGCAGCTACAATTAGAGCAGCTTCCCTTCCACATGAGATCACAATAGAAGACACGACTGATTAGTGCTACCTGTACTCTGGCTCTGACCACATCCATTGGGTTGGTGACAGTAGAGGCAGTCGCAGCAGCTAAAGGTCCAGCCATGGCCTGAAGGAGCAGGTGGGGGCAGTCACTGGGAGCCATCTTGGACAGTTGCTCTGCACAACATTGCATATAGACAGTTTATAACCAAACCAGAGCCAACAATATAAGACATTAACACTACTTTTCTTCTATAGCACTAAAAACAGAGACTTGGAAAAGCAGAAAGATCAGGTTTGGGAAGCAAAACATACGACTCTTAGCTTATTTTAGGTAGACAAAAAATTATCTTGCTAAAAACAAATCCATGCCTCTCCTGCTTAGCGCTTTCTGAAGTCATTAATTAGAAAAATAAAAAGCTTACCTGCATAAAAGTGATAGAAAGGCCACCAGACTGCACTGTTTGGGATGTAAGTGAGTAAAGAAGCCACGTATCCTCTGTAGAAGCCTCGGAAGCCATCAGCAGCAAAAATCTGAGACACTATCGTTGTGGTCTGCCCAAAAACCTTTGCAGGCTTCCCGGTCTGAGAGTTGGAACTGAGTCGAAAGCGTGTGAGGTGCTGCCCCTGGCCCTGCATCATCAGCTGCTGTGACACAACGTCTATAGGAACAGTGATGCTTTGAGCAACAAGAGAGGCCGAGCCCCCGGCCACCAGGGACTTGATCGTATTGTCCTCTGAATACTGGGAAACATACTTCCTCACCAACTCGTAGGTAGTAATGTACGCCTGGCCTGAGATGAGAGTGAAGGTGTTCACCATGAAACCACGGTACAGGCCTCGTACGCCCTCCGCCTTAAGGATCTTGAAGAACGCATCAAAGGTCCCGCTGTAGAGAGATTTTCCCTTCTGCACCTGAAGCCGGGTGCGGATCAGTGTAGCTGGGTAGACAGTGGCCCGAATGGTCATGGTCATGAATATCCCAAAGGAATAGAACTTCCTTTTATCGAGGTCCTCCCACTCGATGATCTGGATGTTCCTTTTCTGCTGCATCCTGCCAGCTGTCGTCCTGCCCTCATCAGACTGTAGCTGCCTGACAGCAGGAAACAAGAGGAGAAGGTCAGGGTTCACTCTTAGGTAAACATACAAAGATACATCACAGCTATAAATTAAAAAATGACAATTTAGGCTGATTTATGAAGGTCTTAGAGTTTTGTAAAACCACAATCAGAATTAAACAGCTTAATGATGACCAAAGAAGAGAGACAACGAGGCATGGATGAAGCTTTGGAGAGGCTTAAAGCAGAGTTTATATAAACAATGTATAAAAAAACACTGAACATATCACAGAGACATTAAAGCCTCTATAATTAGGTAAGAATGTTATGAAAATTGAAGTTATTTTGAACAGAGCATTTAAAAAAAAAAAGGAGAAAAAAGGGGGACAACTTCAGGTCCCTTTGTAATCCCAGCACAGATCTGATCTCCCTCAACATTTTAAAAGCTTCCCCAAATATTTACTCATCATTATTTACTCCAATTTGGCCCTTTTTGTTTTCTTCCTCTTGTGTAAAGTCTGTGGTGACAGGGTTTGAAGCATATCAGCAGGTCTTTTTGGACCCATCTTCAGAAACAGGTTCACATGGTCTCCCACTAATGCGTTAACGGGGGCAGATACTAGACGAGCCAGATTAACAAGAGCCTGCAGCGCATTACTTGCATGGACATGCCTACAGAATACGAGCCTCAACCCCCCTCTCACAAACTGAGTAATGAAACGTTAAGAGCAACTTGTTCATTCGTAATGCTCCTTTAAAGATGAGAGTTCAAAAAGAAAAACCATGCTTTCAATAAACAGCAAATAGAATTCCAGTTTCTAGTTTGGCATAAGCCTTAAAGGGACACTGTAACTGGAATACACCCAAAGAAGTCATTTTAAGAAATAACAATGGGAGCCAGCTCATGCCATCTTCAATCAGAGATATGGTGGTGG